ACCTCCTTTTTTTTTCCATTTATTCTTGCTGAGTGTTGTTTGAGGTACTATAGTAATAACAACAAACCTTTATTCAATCATGTGAGGTCAACTACATAAATATTTTTTCTCCATTGAGTGTTGTTTGAGATGATAACCTTATTTTTTTGCAATTCATTGAAAATTTTTTTTTTCCATGTAACCCCTTCATTAGAGGAAGGGCTGACCTGAGCTTGAGATTTCGTGGTTGGAGGTGGCATGGGTTTAGGAGGGTGTTTGGGATTGGATTGGGGACAAAGAGGCTGGATCAAGGGCGTGTTGTTGTGCAGATATATAATGCTTCTATCTTAGTTCGAGGAGAAGTGTCATTGAGCTTTGATAATCTTTTCTCTCAAAAGGGAAATCTCTTTATTGTTATCTTATGGAGGAAAACTTTATATATAATAGAGTAAGGAGCAACCATGATTTATACCACTTATTAAATATAGAGAATATTTATATATTGACATTTTCCTATGCTAAAAGATAACTAAAAGGGAGGGTGTATGCTATTCTACCATGATCGTCAATATTTGAATAGAAAAAAGCAATTAAAAAAAGCTTCTCAATAATACAAGAAAATCAACTAAATGAATGTAGAGTTTTCAATTATGATGCACCAACACTTTTCGTCAACGAGTTATGTAGTGTCTGATATGTATCGGACATGACATACATCCAACACGCATCTGACACTTGTCAGATATGTCGAAGACATGTCCATTTAAAAAATATTAAAAAGAAATTTACCACTCGTGTCAAACATTTTATGAAAAAATTTTAAATATAATTTATTGTATCCCAATTTTTATTTAGCAAAAAGATAAAAATTTATCCTAGTGAGGGGATTGTGACTTTGGGTGATCAAGTCATTAATAAGAGTACACGTTTTAGATATCTTGGATCTATTGTTCAGAGTGATGGTGAAATAGATGGGGATATTATCAGCATAATTCAAGTTGGATGGTTGAAGTGGAGGAATGCATCGGGCTTGTTATGTGATAGAAATGTACCCCTCAAACTTAAGGGAAAATTCTATAAGATGGTAGTGAGGCCTGCAATGCTTTATGGTGCCGAATGTTGGCTTTTAAAAGAGAAGCATAATACTAAGTTAAGTGTGGCGGAGATGAGGATGCTCAGGTGGATGAGTGGCTTTACCCTTAGAGATAGGATACGAAATGAGCATATACGTGAAAAGGTTGGAGTAGCTCCAGTAGAAGATAAGATTAGAGAAAGTCGCCTTAGATGGTTTGGTCACATAAAACGGCGGCCTTGTGATGACCCGGTTAGGAGAGTAGAGGTATTAGATTTGACTTATGTTAACTTGTTAAGAAAGGTAGGGGTAGACCTAAAAAGACTTGGTTAGAAAATATTAGGAATGACCTTTCTTTATTAGATTTAAACGTGAATTTGACTTTTAATAGGACACAATGGAGAAAAAGGATTCATGTAGCCGACCCCACGTAGTGGGATAAAGGCTTGACGTTGTTGTTGTTGTATGTGGGCTGATCATGTTAATAAATAAGGTTTTTCTTAATCAGGTTAGTAGGCCTGTTAACAACTGAATAAAAAGTAGATTAGCAATTTAGTTGTAAATTCAGAATAAGTTTGCGTAGTGGGATAAAGGCTTGACGTTGTTGTTGTTGTATGTGGGCTGATCATGTTAATAAATAAGGTTTTTCTTAATCAGGTTAGTAGGCCTGTTAACAACTGAATAAAAAGTAGATTAGCAATTTAGTTGTAAATTCAGAATAAGTTTGAACCTGTTAGGTTTCCCATGCTGTAACTCGAAAATGTTTTATTAAACAATGCTATGTATTGAAGTATGACTATCCGATGATTACACTATCTTAAACGGCAGTTAACAAATTTAAGCATTTTAACATCTGAATTAGTTTTCAACAAGTTGGCTTGAAACTCTCATGGCTAAACTACTATATTGATCTATAGAAGCAGTTCAAGGGGTTATTTTACCAATTGGAAGTATTATGTTTCTGTTACGTTCTACTATTCCTTCAATGGTTCTGTAGATTTTTGGCATAATTAAGACTTAAGTTTCAAGGCTTGTTCATTTAGAACTATATAATAATTTAAGCTTTGTTTTACGGCCCCTTTACTTTCATTTGCTATGAATGTTATGGTTCTGTAAGACGTATTAATGAGATTGAAGCGGAATTCACTAGTTTTTTATTGTTGTAGGCCATTCCACATGCCGTAGCTTTGGTTAGATCTGCAGACAATAAAAGCCCAAGGGAAGCAGTTGAGTTTCTTTTGCAACTTTTGAAGGTAATTGCAGTTGCTGGTCTTATGCCAAAAATTGTTGCGATTGTTTTGTGAATAATTTATCTTACTGCATTGTTTTGAAAATGCCATGTTTTCTTTGAAAGCTTTTTAGCGTAGTATTATGGTGATGTTCTAACTGAGCAGACCTTTAAGTATCTCATATTGAAATGCAAATTTAGATCATGATCACTACTGCCATATTTATCAGTTAAATAATTAAATGTCAAAATATCAAATAAATATGAACTTGAGCCAAATAACTTGAAAAAGACCCCAACTGCACGCAGATTTCAGCACCCTTTTTTCCTTCTGCAAACTTAGGGGAAAGATTCCTTGCAGTCTAAGCAGCCTGTTGTTTCCTGTTTATTCTTTTTGGAGGGGCTAGATTCTGTTCAATGCAAGTCGGCCACCACCTTACTTCCATTTTTATTAGGCAGAGATTCATGATGTGGCTGCTATTTTACTGCTCCTGGTTGGCATATGTTCTTTTGGGTGGGTATGAGGGTGCAGCCAAATGATCCTCTGGATTGTTTAAATTCTGATACTGCCCTGTTCGTAATTAACTTTTATAGGAAAAAGTCATACCTGTATGAAAAATTTTCCCCTTAAACATAAACCCTTCCTTAAAGCTCTTATTGAAAATGGTGAGGGCCTTCATGGTATATCAGGGAAGAAGCTCATGCACATGTTAGGTGGACTTTCTGTGAGATAACTGTAAAGTACAATAGCTGGGTTGGTTAGGTTGGCGTACATTTTATGTCTATCTTATTCTCCGCAGATTTCCATCCATTCATTGAGTTGGTTATGCCAATTCACCTCCTATCGCCCATATTGTTTGGAGTTGGGAGTGGGCTGCTGAACACACAATCTCTCTCTCTCTCATTATCTATTTAAATGTGCAAAGGTGTAACATTAGACGTGCCACAATGGGATAGTTGTTCTAAAGGATGCATATTGCATCAATGTTTTCTCCAGATTTTCTTGATTTGCATTCCTTATCCGGGCAAACTATTGTGGCCACTTACATTCATTTATAAAAGTTATAGTTGATTCACAAACATTAATAATTGGTAAAGAGCTACTGCCCTTTCAGTTGAAAATGACGATCCTATCCATGCTAATCCGTCTACATCATGAGTGTCCTTGTTGTCTTTAGTTTCCAGGACTGTACCTTGACAAATTAAAAAAAAAAAAAAAACGAAATGGTTTCTGTTCATATCGTTCTTCTTTTAAATTCTCGGTATGTAAACCTAATCCTATTCAACGTTTGCTTGTTGACTGTGACCTGCTGAAATAGTGTCAATTATGATATGATTGACTGCAGCCCCTGCATTGTCTTACGTTTTTAGCTGCCTATTCTCCCCTTAAACCAAAGTAAGTGCCAACAAGGATCATCATACGAGTGTCTGAGCTCAATTAGATTTGAAAAAATTAAGGAAGAAAATAACAGTCAAATAAAGACTCTGTAGTAGTTATTACATAAAAAATCTTCCTATGATCATACCACAAGTTCCAATTTATCAAGCAAGAAATAAATAAGTTTTGTGGTTGCTCTGGAGAAAAAAAAAATCTAAGAAGGTTAGGTCAAATTGAAGTTTGAACTTCACTCATTTATCCATTGCCGTTAGTAATGTTGGATATAGAAGTTGAAGGCTTTGACGTACATATAAACATCTAAAATTACTCTGCTTCAGAATTCACAATTGTCTTATTGCACGGCTGACTACAACTGCATTCAAAATAAGTAAGTTTAAAGCCTCACGAATAATAAATCTTGTATTATGGCTTGATATGTAAATATTTGCTTAGGAATGTGAAAATTTGTTTCACTACTAATGATTTGTTATTTGTTGATGGCCTCATTTTCCCCTAATTAATTATGATGATAAATTTGATTATTTATTACTAATCAAATGCACTATTAACTGAACACTTTCATTAAAAGGTAACATGTCCTAATCTTACTATTCTCCTAATATTATAGCTAAAAAAGCTAATTCTTGTTTGCAACGAAGCACCCCTTTGAATTTTTGGTGTTTTCTCTTCTCAAAATTTTTTGCTGAATGTTGGTGAACATTCATCATGCTCTACCTAGTTGCTGTTTTTTTTTTTTTTTTTTTTTTTTTTTTTTATTTTTTTTTTAACCTAGTTGCTGTTAATTTGCATCTTTCTTTAGGATTAGGTTTGTTCCATTACATTTTTTATAGGACTTATAGTTCATCTCAGCTTTTCTACATCCATATCCAAATAGTTGGGGCAAGTGTAGTAATGTTGATGTTTATTCGTCTATATCACCATCAAGTCACCTTATTTGTTTATTTTTGCTATTGTTGATCTCCGTATGCATTTTGCAATCAATGTGATCAAATATGATGAAGATGGCTGATGGGTCATAGGCTACAATTGCTGCTCGCCGACTGCTCCAACAAATAGGTTAGAAGATGAAATTCCAAGTAAAGAAGTAGAAGAAATTTCCAAATTGAGAAGGAAAATAGGGAAGAAAGAGAAGGTTTAAGATTTTCCATTTCCTTTTGCTTTTAACTTGTCCGTGGCAACTTATACTCAACCTTTTAAAATTATTATGCTTCTAATTCACTCCCTTCAATGGTGACATCTGTCCATAATTGCTAATAAACTTAATGGTTTGGGAGATATAAAATAAACTCTTGTACAGTTGGTTACATAAATTATATTCTTATGATCACTTATATTATTAGTCGCACATCCACTCACTCCCTAAGCTTTGTGCGCCTGGTAATCCCTCATTCATGTTGGTTGAATCCTCTCGCTGTGTGAACGCTGAATTTCACTGATAGTCTGTTTGGTATCGCTTATCTTTGTCTTGCTTTGTTGTTCCATCACAGTATGTGGGTTCATAACAGTGATGAACAATAGAAGCAATATGGGGCAACATGCATTAAAATGTCTAAAACGTCGCTTGTCTCACATAATAGACCATGCTTACACGTCTAGGATTTCAAAATTACCGAGAATGCGCTTGCATATGGCCCAATTTGTTGTACTAGAAAAAGGATGAAAAAATTTCTTGGGGCAATAACGTTAATGAAAAGAATTCATGCTATGAAAATTGAAAACTAGACATGGGTGAATAAAAACTTTCATTAGGCGAGGACTCAATTTGACACACTTCAAATAAACATTGTATGCATATAAATGCATGTTTCATAAAAAAATCATCGAATTCTTTGGGCACCATTTTCTCATGTGCATGCTGTATGGCAATAAAAAAAAAAAGAAAAGAAAAATAAAACTTAAACTAAAGCCCCTTCCTTCCCATCTTTGTTGATCTATCTTCACATGTGATTTCCCACACATTGCTTTACCAGCTTGCACAATACAATCAATACTGCTTACGTTAGTCATCAAGATTCTTAGGCATAATTGATGTTAGGCACCTTGAGAAATATCGTCATGTTTACGCATCGTAGATGCAATTCTATTGGTGATTGTCTTTATAAAGATTTTAAAAGCACCATTCTAAAGACTTATAGGTTTGAAATCTTTAAGATATTCAAAATACACTCTTTTGGGAACATGGTAGTGGTGGTAGAGCTAGGTTTGGCAAGAGATGCTTTACCATGGTGAATATCATTAAACATAAGCTCGAGATTTGGATGAATGATAGACATGCTTTGAAAAAAAACACAATAGACATGCATGTTTTGAAAAGAGCTTGAAAATCCATTAGGGCCAGAAGAATTGCTAGGTCCAAAGAGAAAATCACCTCTTTTGTTTTATTTATGGATAAAAAAAAGAGGTATCCAATCTTAAAGTGATAGAAGGATCATCATGCAGGTAAAGCTTAAGAAAGAAAAGAAATCTTTTAAGGATTCTTTATTGATAATCTCTTTACAATATGATATGATTGGAGGGGGCATCCAACCCAACCATTCGGTACAACATGGACCAAACTAGTCATCTGACTGGGCAGACCTAGAGCAGAAAACATGGAAAGTTCTGCCCCCCTTGTTGAGCAGCAAAGTTGTGATTTATTATATTATGAGGAATAAGGACGGAATTATTTAGGAAAAGGGTTTCAATTTGAATTTAAATAAGAGGAAATATTATTTAAGGATGTTTCTTAAAATATGTTTAATTGTTTAGGAAGGTTTCTTAAATTATGTTTAATTGTTTAGGACGGTTCTATTTATGATTTTGTCTTTTAGGACTATTTAAGGGGAGTTGTTTAGGGTTTAGAGTATGTGATTGCTGAATTTTGTGTTTTACTATAGTTCTTTTCTTTGAGGGCTTCCTAGCTGAGTCTAGATTATTTGGGAGAGCTGATCTACCTCTCTATTCATAGATCACATATATCCTGTCGTTTCCTTCTTGTATAGTCCATTAAAAAGTGTTCTGGAGTATTCTTCTTCATCGTTTTCTTGTTGCCAATTTCTATTTTGTTGAAATTGAATATTGAGCCAAGGTTTTCTTCTGCATCTGCTTCATATCACAATAGATAATAAAAAACATGAATAATATCATCTTTATTGTGAAAAAAACTTAAAACCTTCTGAGATAGAGTGGATGAAGCTATATTTTTGTCTACCATTAACAGTTTTGTGGGAAAAGAAGTATTGTTATCCCCTTAAATATATAATGTCACTTTGAATTTTTGATGCCAATAAATTTCTTTTTTTTTTTTCAGTTTAACTAAAAGCCATTTTTTCTCTATGTTTTAAGTCTCTAAATATTTTAAGGAGCAAATCCTATTCTCGGTGAAGGCTTAGGTATGATATGGTTGCTTCGTAGCTGTGGGCTCCGAAAATTCGACTCCGGCCTCCCCGCCATTGATTGTGCTTTTATTTGGGCGAGGGAGTTTTAACGGACTAAGTTCCGAGGTAAATTTTGGAAGGCAGATCAGTTTGTAGATAAGGGGACAAATTTGAATTCTCCTTAGCTGACAGAGGGCTTTGTGCCCTATCGATTATATCCTATTGATTCATATCTCAATGATTTGATGTCATTAATGAGCGTATCGGTTC